GGGGGGGCACATGGGGCTGGGGGGGTGCGTGGGACTGGGGAGGCCCAGGAGGGTGGGGGGTGCCTGGAGCTGCACAGCACTGGGGGAGGGATGTGGTGCTGGGGGGCTCGGGAGGATGGGGAGCGCTGGGGGGCTGCACAGAGCTGGGGGGGTCTGGGAGGGTGGGGGTGTATAGGGTTGGGGTGGGGAGGGGGCTGCACAGGGCTCGGGGGGGGAACATGGTCCTTGAGAGGCCCAGGAGGATGGGAGGTACTGAGGGGGTGCACAGAGCTTGGGGGGCTCGGGAGGATGGGGTTGTGTATATCTGGGGGTGCTGGGGAGGGGCTGCACAGGGCTGGGGGGGCACACAAAGCTGGGGGGGCCCCATTTGTGGCCCCCGCCCCAGCCCTGCTCCCCCCAGGATGGAATCCACGGAGAAGTGCGAGGCCGTCATCACCCACTTCAACGGGAAGTACATCAAGACACCCCCGGGGGTGCCAGGTGGGCTGGGGGGGCTCGGGGGGACTCTGGGGGGGGCTGTGGGCTGGCAAGTGGCACTGACAGCCCCCCCCAGCCCCCCCAGACCCGCTGCTGTGCAAGTTTGCTGACGGGGGGCAGAAGAAGCGGCAGAGCCAGGGCAAGTTCGTGTCCAACGGCAGAGCCTGGGCCCGGGATGGCGACGCGGTGAGGGGGGGCCGGGGGGCCTGGGAAGGGGGGGGTCACACCCCGTGGCTGCCGGGGGGGGCTGCAGGGCAGCGCTGACCCTTCTCCCCCCCAGGGCACCGTGACCTTGGCCTACGACCCCGCGACGGCGCTGCAGAACGGGTGGGTGCCCCGGGGTGCCCCCGGGCCCGGCGGGGTGGGGGCTGCCGGCCGCGGCCCCCCCAGCCCTGACCCCCCACCCCGCAGGTTCTACCCGGCGCCCTACGGGCTGGCCCCCGGCCGGATGCTCCCCCCCGCCGCCCTGGCCCCCTACCTGCCCTCCCCCGTCTCCTCCTACCAGGTATGGGGGCTCAGGGGGTCCTGGGAGGGGGGGTCCCCACCTGGGGAGGGGTGGGGTGCTCAGGGGAGCCCCCCCATCTGCTCCCACCCGCAGGTCCACGGCCCCACCTGGATGCACCAGTCCTACCTCGTGCAGCCCACGGTGAGCACGGGGCCCCACCCAGTGCCACGCCCACGCCTGACCCTCCCTGATAGGTGGGAGGGGGTGCAGGAGCTATGCCCAGTGCCCCACCCACACGTGCCCCTCCCACTTTGTCCAGAAACCACACCCACTTTAGACAAGACACGCCCATTTCCAGCATTTCCCCCAGCCCCACTCTGGGGCTCCCTGGCCCCGTGTCCCCATGGCCCTGGCCCCGTGTCCCCACCCCGTGTCCCCACCCCGTGTCCCC